CCAAATATGTCAGGTGTCTCAGGTTAAGTGAAGCCTTATTTAAGTAAGTGGAGGGTTCAGAGCAACATCACTGTAGCCAACTTAATAATAAACCCCCACATTACTCTCATTTTAAAGCACGCAAATACCTTCTTTCTTTATTATACTATGGTGAAATTAAAGATTCTACAATTGTACAACACATGTCACGTGTATGCAAACCTTTATGAGCTTCTTGAAATGTGAACGCACCTGTTACAGAAGTGAAAGACATCTTGGAAGTGGTCACCACTGTAATATTGAGTTGTGATGAGGTGACTGATGAAGCTGTGGTGGATCTTGTTGTCTGGCTGGTTTTGGTGGGCTGAGTCGTCAAGGTGACGGACATAGTGGTGTTGGTGGGCTGACTGGTACTGGTCAGATGGGTAGTACTGGTGGACATACCTGGGAAATTTTTATTTGTGATATCACACAGAAAAATACATACAAATAATAAACTATACTCATTGAATAAGATAGCCTTGATCATGCCCAAATAGAATGACAGAGTAACAATGACAATGCCACTGCATGGATATTCAGGCTTGCATGGATATACAGCTCTTCCCCTACGCATTTCCTTTGGAAAGACCTAACTTCTGATTTCTGGGGCTCAAGGTCAGGAATGGTTTAAAGGAAAGGCTGTAAAGAAAACCTGGATAATATCTGATAACTTTTAGAAGGGTCAGGTTTTTTTGGATAACACTAACCAGTTCCATAGAACCACACCTAACTTACAGTATTTTAAAATGTGATAAAATTCTGGATCAAGAGTAACTTTCTATTTGAATCACCCAATTTTCAGACAACTAAGCTTTCTGATAAGAATGGATTTTGCAGGAAAAGGTGCTCCCCCCTGCCCAATTTAATAATGATTTAATCTTTAATTTGCTTTTGAATGAAACACTGGCTTTACTAAGGCTGCATATGTATATTAAATGTACCAGAGAGAATTCTGTATGTATGTTAAACTTAAGGTTCAAGAGGTTTTCCGCATGTGATAAAAGTTCAACTAAAGTAAATCTGCTGGCTTGTATAACTTATTTAGTAGTGAGCTGCCTTGCCAAGGTTAAAACAAAGACTGGAATGCTGTTTCACAAGTTTAATTGACACCTAACATCTTTAACTTTTCCTCTGCTTTTACCTAACACTTCCCCTTCCCTCCTCAGAAAGCAGTAATGAACTGTGCAGAATAAAAATACCACGAAGCAAAATTCAAGAATAAGAGATTGATATTTATAGCAAAATCCTTAGAACCTTAACAGAAGGCAGCCAGCTAGAATGATCTTAAGAACAATTATTTATTTTTCTAAGAAGGAACTAACGAGAAACATGAGCCTGTTACGCAACTAACATTTCTCTAAGCAGACAATATAAGGCAAATAGCAATTATGTGTGAAGGAATTTTAGGGAGAAAAAGCTCCTTTTGCAGGTGTCTACTTCTGTATTTTTTCTATAACATCATACAAGCTGGGTTCACTGTAAACACCACAAAACCTTTTAATTATGAACATTCGAATGTCTGATTATACCCACATTTTCTTGAAATTGTCCAGAACTAGAACGACTGAAGAATAGGTAGTTTCATCGCAGTTCCACAGTAAACTTGATATTCAATTTCTGCTTTTTTTATACAGCATCTAAAATGCTTCAATAGAATAATCTTCCTGTAAGCGTGGTTTAAAACATGAGTAGCTAAGACTTAAGTATCACTGTTTTCAGTACAGATGTGAATATGAAAAACTCAAAAAACCCAAACAATGTAAGCATTCAGAAAGGAACTGGACCACACAACACTTTCCTGAGACATTTAACATTAAAACTACTGAAACAGCCCAACAGAGTCCCCATAGTAATTGTTATTTATTTTCCTATTCTTTGATATTATAATTGTATTGTGCCATAACCCTAGGAAACACTTTGAAATCAGCATTCATTGAGATAGAACAGTTTGGAGTACTATATTCACGTGCTTACCTTGTTACAATTAGGAAATTCAGTTCCTCTATGAAGCATGTGTAAAATACATCAGATAAAATTCAGGGCACATTTTAATACTGACAGGTAAATGTCTATATGGAAACCATCTACAGTTATATGACATGAAACCACACCTGGTAATTGCATTTCTAATACAAAATATACCAAAAGTCAGACAAATCTGAATGCAAGTGTCAACCAGTCAGCTTTCTGGGTTTTTTTAGCCATGATTTCTGAGTGTCAAACTGGCTTGTGTTTCTGAGCCATACAATGGCTAATTGTTCCATGCGTAACATTATTAAATGATGTTACACAAAGATCGTTCTTATCCTCATGGGCATTAAATTACCCTACAGAAAACCTGAGTCAGCACAAAAAATATCCAAGCAGCTATCATGAGGAATTGCAGCTGATTTGCACACTACTTTTCCCCCCCCTCTCCTACCAGCAATCCTTTTTTCTTACCTTATCAAGATTACAGCACTTGGTGATGTAACATTAAGAGTAAAATCTGGTTACTCTCCTACAGACTAATCTTTCATGATGTATTTGGCATCAGTCACTTCAAAACATCAGTGGGAGGCTATCTGAGGCAGCTAGAGAATCTGGGAAGCTGACATGAATTGGGCACCAATCTGTTTTTCTGTGTCTTTGAAAAATCTTACCCTTACTATTTTACCAACAGAGTTAAGATGAAAGAACATTTGCTAGCAACAGCTGTCCTTTTATCTTCTATTTCCCTAATTACTTTTCCCGCAAAAGACCAGCTGGGCTTCATTGAACATCATGCTAAACTAACTCAGACTGCCTGAGTTAATTATTATTTAAAAAGGATGCATGCCAGTAATATAGTTCAGGTTTATAATGCTTTATTTTTAAGAGAGACAAGTATTTTACTTTGTATGTTACCTGTGTTTAAACATTACATAGCTATGCTATACCCATCAATCAAGCTGTATCTAGCATTAAGGTAAGAAGTCTTAGCAGCATGCACTACTCCATTAGTGTTCTAACACAACAAGAATGAACACAACTCAAACTGCACAAGCACCACGCTAACACACAAAATAATTATTAGCAAATGCTCTTCCTCAAATAAATAAACACTCTCCTTTGCACGGAAAATGATTGAATGAAACAGACTTTTGCTTATGTCATGAAAAGCTTCTCCCCCTCCTCCCCCCCCAAAAAAGGCAGAGACTTTAAGCAAAATTAAATGCATATATCCAGTAGTCTTTCTTCTGAAGACATCAAGACACATTATCAAAATGGATGCACATTGTCTGAAAATCTATGAGGTTTCTAACAAAAAAAAAAAAGTCAAGGATGTGAATCATGAACTATGTGAAGCAATCACGTAGTACTTAGGCACAGTACTTGTACCATGCCTAACAAGGCTCAGGCCTCTTTTTACTGTTATTATCCAGGTACAGTAAAGCTCAGACTCCTGCAAGAAACCCACAGTTAGGTTGGAGCGGTGGGCGGAAGGGTTGAGGCACACACAGGGTGGGTGAAACACCTGTGGTTAACAATGGCTTCACACAGGGGGAAGGCCCCACGGCAACAAGGGGATTACAAAAATGTCTCCACTTTCTAAGGCAGACATGCTGAAACTGGTACACTGCAGGCAATGGAATGAGACATTGCACCACTTCCTCGCTATCAAAGGAAGGTTTTTTCAGAGATTTTTTTCTTCTGGTGAGTATTTTATTCTTAAATGAATAACAAGCAACTTCTGAGCATGATAGCTGCGAGGTTATCTGGAGACTACAGAGACATAAAGTGAGAGCTGTATTGGAAATGGAATAACATAGTTGGGACCTTATGATCAGCATAAAACTCCACAAAAACGCAAAGTATCTTAGGGTGGGCACAATATTTCTGCCCTGCTTTCACATGGCTCTTGGCACAAAGGGCACTCTGTTCATGCCTGGAACTAGCTTCGCTTCTCTCGGATACAAAATTTTCTGTGCATCACAGACTGAACAACTGCGTAACATTAATTGTTACCAAGTCTTTACTGATGCAGTGAAATATGCCTCTGCAAGTTCTTCTAGACATTTTTTTAATGTCCTTTTCTAATAATCTCACACTGACATATCCAACAGTTGGAACACTGCAAATACAAGCGGATGCACTCTTTGTGTCCCAGGTTAAGTATCTGCTTTCAAACTCTACTAACTGATCCAATACAGTTATTTCTTCTTTCTACAAAGATGTGTTTTGTAAACACATTACTTATGTTGGAGCATCACAACTGCAGCACTGCTGCCCATGGGAAATCATTCTTACCTACAGTTCTTTTCGTAGAATCATAGAATTGTTTAGGTTGGAAAAGACCTTTAAGATCATCAAGTCCAACTTAACACTGCCATCCCACCACTAAACCATGTCCCTAAGCAACTAAACCATGTCCCTAAGCAAGTTGTATTTGCCAAGTTGTGAAGGAAAGACTGTAGTGGTAGAACGATGCAAAAGTACCTGTGACAGATTGTCCCAGATCTGCTGCTTGTGTCTTGCTTGACCACCACTGCTTTGTGCTGTGAGGTCTGTAAGGGCTATTGTCTGTGGTATAAGGTGCCGTGAGTCTTACCTAAAAGGAAATGGAGTCTTACCCTTGAAACTCAAGCCCCCAGGACTTCATTATACCCTAAATCTATTTACTGTGAAAACCCATTAAACAGATATGCACTGTTTGCACAACCTATTCATCTTTATTCCATGAAAATGGAAGAAGTCTGCTTAGAGACAAAGACGAGCATTAAAAAGACCAACTTCTTTCCATTCTTCCTTGAAGTTTTATTTTGATTCCTGTTTTTCAATGGCACCACAAATGTCATTGCTTCTACTGATGAAGCCTGCTACCTAAACTTGAAAAACAGTACAGCTTCTTTTCAGAGTTGGTTTACATGTTGCCTCAAAGCTCTAAAATGATAACGCCTCTCTCAAATACATACTTTTGATGGATATTTCTGTAGAATTTGGTATGATCTGGGGTAGGTTTGGAGCTAGCTTCTAGGTTCATAGTAATGGACAGATGAACAGGTACGTACCTACTGCAGATGTTGCTGTAGATTGTGTGGATGATAAACCAGTGACACTGGATAAACTGCTATTTTCTTGAAGGAAAAAAGAAAACAAGAAAAGAAATAGTATTAATTTTCATTTTAATTTACTATAATTAAAGTACCCCAACACAATAATCTCCTCAGGGTATCTGTGTTTGTATGCTACAAATGGGAATAGAGCAGAGAGTATTCCATCCCAAAGCAGATGGTTTTATTCCCCTGCAAAATGCTTCCAGATCTCAGTTCAACAAGAACATAGTTACACCGTATGCATAGCAGTGCCCAAACGGTCTGCATCTGAATTCGTTGTATCTCCTCTTTTTGTTCTCTTCTACTTCTACGTCATGCTCTCTTCCAGTTACTGTTCCAAGCCATACTGTCACTGACTTTCTTGACCTACTTAAGCACTGTTTTTTTTTTTTTCTAGTACCATTTCCTGTCCCTCAATCTTTACTTTCATTTTGCTGCATCTCTATTACAAACTGGGCTTATGCTAGGAACATACTGTAGTCATCTCAAGTAGGGACAGACCTATACCTGTGAAACAGCTTTCTGTTGGGCTTATGCTCTCTCTACACAAAAAGATCCTAAGAACGTACTTGTTTCCAAAGACTTAAAATGTAACCCATGTCTCAGTCTTAACGCTTTTGTCCCTCTCTCCTTTCTTTCACTTCTACTTTTTCAGTTCTCTTCCCCCCCCTCCCCCCTTCCAAATCATGTTACTTCTAGGCTCTTAGGCACCCTTCCCACTCTCACTTCTGTCCTCATTGCTGCACCCTTCTTCAGTATTTCTTAGAGGTTAACAGTCTCTTCCTCCTGGCAAAGATCTACTGGGCTGTTTGGTAACTCCTGTTCCTGCCCGTACTTCCCTCCCATTGTTCTGCACTGTTGTCTATGTCCATTCTGTGATTATTCTTTTCTCTGAAGTAACTGATCTTTCACAGCATCCTCCCACGTTGCTAGAGTTATGCGCCTTGCAGCAGCTCTACTGCTTTTTAGAATGGCTGGAAAACAAAGTGTGTAACCTCAGAGATGACGAGAATAGCAACACAGCTACCAGAATCAAGAAGCAGGCCTATTTCCTGCTGTTCTTACCACTGGAAAAGTGTAGTCTAAAACAGTCTGGTCAACCCTCTTTGCAATTGCAGACATATTATGAGCAAGCTCAGGTTTAAGAACAAATGCAAAAAATTTACAACTTCATACCAGCTACCAAAAAGAGGGAAAAAGAAACTACAGAGGGAATTACTTTGCCTTTTCTTTGGTATAATCATAGCTAACCAGTCCCACCATTGCACACTGCACACACAGCCCTTATACTGACATACCTGGGATATTAAGTTGCAGATTTAATTGTCTTTGAGAAACAGTCTACGATTGTACAATTACAAATACATTCTTTCTTGGATATGTTGACTTTATACCAGCATAAACCATGGATAGGCCTGGGGCTAAATCTTTCCCACACTGGCCCTAAACTGTAACCAGAACACAGCTTTGGGTTTCTCCCAAGTTCTGAGTGCTTACTTCTGCAACCCCAGGAACATGTCTCGATGTGGACTGCATGCTCATACAGGTGAAAAGCAGCCAGCTATACTGCCTGGAATTTGGGTGTGAGTCAGTGATGCAATTAACAGAAGATAGAGTGAGTCCATGAGCAGAGTACTAGCTATACATCCCACTTGTTGGCCAACAGCAAATGAGACAAGTGAAGTAGTACAGGGCAAAAATGACTCAAAGGAATATGCCTTTTGCATGGCACATGCTTAAAGGTGTACAGCTTAACACAGTCAAAATGAGATCACGCTAGGAAATAAATATGTACTTTAGCAATGAGCTCAAGCACAGTGGACTTAGAATCCATTTTGATGTTAAAAATCAAATGAAAAAGTGCCTTGCCTCTTTCTCAAGAGCACTGAATTCTAGCCCAGCACTTATTGAGCTGGTGGTTCTCTTTTCAACCAATTGAAATTGATGTTGGCAGCTATTTCTAGTTCTATACATAATTTTTTCCCATTTTATTTCTCCTCTCTCTGTTGCTCTGAGGCACCCAAGGATATGAGGATTGTGTTCTACTGTTCCTCTTAAATATCCTTAATTGTTGCAGAATAGAGTACCTCCCTCCTGCCCTACAGCTGTTCACAATTCAGTAAAATAAAATAAAGGGCAAACTATTACAGGACAGTTTAAGGCATACAATAACACATATTGCTTTTCTCGATGCTACTGAGAACAGCAACAGAAATGCCACGAGTATTACCTTGCAACTTATGGTCTGGACCCATACCAATGGATGTAGCACTGCTGGAGTTGTTAGTCTCTTCATTTCCTACATAAAACCCAAGAAGAATAAGATAGTTTTAGGTGCTTTATTGCTAAGAAGCAACAAAAAGCCCAACCAAACCAGCACCTGTCACTTGCTTTGGGCATATAAATGACTAAACTACCATGGACAGGAGTTAGGTATAATGATATAAAAGCATGGTACCACAACAGCCTGCCCTTAGCATGTTAAAAATGACAACATTTGCACCATCCAACTATAAAATGAACTGGAACTCCTTCCCATCCTCAGTTTTATCTTCCCCATCATCACCATCACAAGTTCTCTTCTTCCTTGAGATCAAAGGGGACTGAAAGAAGAGGTAGAAAATCAGGCACCTTCTGTCAGTAAAAACATATGACCTGCATCACCTACAGCAGAAGGAAAAGGATTTCTCATGTAAATCTTTTCCAATAAAGTCTGCAAGGCCTTTGCAGGCAGATGGGGGCTTGCTGCATGGACAGCACAGTAAAACAATAAGCTCCACTAAGAAGCTGCATTACTTAGTTTGGGACTAACAGCATGTTAATGCATCCACTGAGCATTTGGCAGGTGGGGAGATCACACCTGTAGTGAAATATCATCATACCCTAAAGACTAATCGAGGCCTGATTACTCTGTCCTCAGGCCTGGTCTACAATCAAATGGTAAAATTTAAAGATAAACCAGAGAGAATGAAGTCTTGCATGCATACGCATGCAAGAGGATCCCTTATAACAGTATTCTGCTAAAGGCAAGCAAATAACCTGAACTAAGTATCACAGAAATAGGGCATTTTCTTAGTAGTTATGAAACCTCAGCGAAGATCTCAGAATGATAAAGTTTGCAACTACAAATGGCAAACCACTCACTGTATCTTACCCCTGCAGTATCAAGACTGAGGGCAGCACTGCAAGATATGTTAAGACTGTTTAACTGGGTAGCTTAGGGAAAACAAACAAAAAAAGGAGGATGGGACACAGCTAAACTAAGCTTCCCCAGGAAGGACCCGCTCCTGCAGAAAGTGGTCTACATCAGAGCTGGTTCCCCTGCATTTAACAATGACCTGACTGAGGAAGCTAAGTCAACAGAAAACGACATTACCCCCCTCCCCAATAACACGCAATGCGTTTTTCTGCCTCAAGGAACTTGATGAAGTTCAACAAGGGCAAGTGTCGAGTGCTGCACCTGGGGAGGTCAAACCCCATGCACCAGTACAGGCTGGGGGCTGACCTGCTGGAAAGCAGCTCTGCTGAGAGGGATCTGGGAGTCCTGGTAGACGACAAGCTGACCATGAGCCAGCAGTGTGCCCTTGTTGCCAAGAAGGCCAATGGCATCCTGGGGTGTATTAAGAGGAGTGTGGCCAGCAGGTCGAGGGAGGTTATCCTCCCCCTCTACTCTGCCCTGGTGAGAGCCCACCTGGGGTACTGTGTCCAGTTCTGGGCTCCCCAGTTCAAGAAAGATGAGGAACTCCTAGAAAGAGTCCAGAGGAGGGCAACAAGGATGATAAAGGAACTGGAGCACCTCCCCTACGAGGAAAAGCTGAGGGAGCTGGGCTTGTTCACCCTGAAGAAGAGAAGACTGAGAGGGGACCTCATCAACACATACAAATATCTTAAGGGTGGAAGTCATGAGGATGGAGCCAGACTCTTTGCAGTGGTGCCCAGCAACAGGAAAAGGGGCAGTGAGCACAAACTGAAACATAAGAGGTTTCAGTTGAATATGCGGAAGAACTTCTTTACTCTGAGGGTGACAGAGCACTGGAACAGGCTGCCCAGGGGGGTTGTGGAGTCTCCTTCTCTGGAGATATTCAAAGGCCACCTGGATGAAGTCCTGTGTAACATGCTCTAGGTGAACCTGCTTTAGCAGGGGGGTTGGACTGGATGATCACCCTTGCCATTCTGTGATTCTGTGAACCAGCAGAAGGGGTTCCCTGTAGGATTAGATGAAAGAGAGGGGCAAGAACCAAAGGCGGAAGGGAAGCCAGGGCTGTATTTGTCCTAGTTCAGATAAGCTTGGACTGCATACCCTGAAAGACGTTAAGGACCTTATCTGGCTTAAAGATGTGATTTTTTTTTCCCTCCTCAAAAAAACCCCAAACATTGATCAGTTTCTTAATTTGGATCACAAGCAGTTGCTCCAGAACACAAAGACATCTTAATATGGGTACTGCATAAGCATAGGCCACATCAGAACACATGGCAGTGAATGGGACAGGTGAGAAAAAGAAAATCTTGAAGGGACACCATTCCCAAACTGTTCTCCATCCTCAGACTCTGCGTTTGGATTTGAAGCCGCGTGTATCACTGCAGGGACAGGAGGAGACTTCAACCAGGGAGGCAGGAAGGACTCCTGGGTTAAGGCAAAGGGAAAAGCAGCACATGCTTTTATGCAGCGATGGCTCTGAGAACAGCTGAGACTCATTTGAGACCACAGCCTGCACACTGTGCAAATGGCCCAAAGTGAAACAGTGAGGGTTTCTGGCCTTCCCCAGGGAGCAGAAGTGCAGGGGTTAGAAGTCTGCGCTGACCCAGGTGCACACGTGCAGGCGTCAGTACAGGAAGGAAAGGGGGAGAAAGCTGGCAGCCAGCTGCAGCGCTGAAGGTCCTGCACATGAGCAGAGGTAAAGCTCTTTCGGCCACAGGGTTAGTTGCAATTTTGGACCTACAAATCTTGAGTAGAGAAACTCTGTGCTGATGCTTGTTCCCACCGTGATCCAGAGGAGAAAGGGGAGGAGGAAAAAAAAAGGGGGGGGGGGATCTCCTTGTCTCCTCGTTCATTTTTCATGATGAAGAAGAACCGAACCAAGGAAATACCCAACTTAAAACAATGTGCCGAAGCACCACATACTGGAAAAGGACAAGGAAAGGGGATCAACAACATTTTTGTCAGACAACTTTGTTTTCCTCTGTTTAAGGTCAGGCGCAGATGCACAGCTAAAAACAGAACTGCTTGTGGCTGGCCAGGGTGTATCTGAAGGCAAGTGTGCTTCCTGTGAAACGCCTCGGCACAGTTTGGTACGCCGAGCGCTCCCAGGACCTCTTGTGATTTTGTTGCTCTAGCGTGTAAGAAGTCATGAGTTGGAGACCATTTGGAGAAGCAAACTTTCAAAAGGGCAAAACCAAGCCAGGTCTTCCATCTTTATAGCTGGAATTAGGCTTTCAGAAGTGGCATTCAGACACAGGAGCTGAAGATCCGTGCTTGGGCTAAACACGTAGATAGATGCGGGGTAAGTGATAGGGATAGCTCTGACACTTGTTGAAAACAAACAGGACAAGATTTTAAATGGACTTGATTTTGCCAGATCCTGCAAAAATCGACACAGTGGATAACACCCATGAACCTTTAACATTAGGAATCTGTACCAGCTCAGGCACATACCAACTTACTGTTCTCTGGAGATGAACCCTGGTAGAAGAACCATACACTGATGAGTGGCACTACACATTCAATTCCCTGCATGTGGGTTTGGTCTCAGTTTGCCCACTCCCGCATTCACATTTAAGATAAACACATTTCTAAGGACTCACAGGCTTTATGTCCAGTCTAACTAAACCTCATGCTGCAGAAAGATGTTGGTATATAAACTCACATTTTTACTAAGCACAATTTTACACATTCATTTTGGGGACATCTCAAAAGTAATTTATAAAATTCTGTCTAGGCATCTTCTCTTTTCAAGTTGCATAGCAGGCAAGTAGGAGAGTTTTATGCCCAAGCCATTCCGCTTTTATTGGTTTAAAAACCAGGAGGCACTGACAATGCACAGTCCATCAGAAAGATCTCCAACTTGCACTGTAACCTCTAAGCAATCCAAATGAGTAACTGTTTTGGTGCTGTAGTGGTTAAAACAGAGATGTTAGAGCAGCAACATGAGCATAACCATTCCCTAGACAGTCTCCACCATCAGGCTACTCATTCTTCTCAGTTGAAATGGGTGAAACTCAAATTCTGGAGATTAAAACAAAACCAACCTCCTGACCCCAAATCTATAGTAACATCTGCCAGGCAACTTTCATAAACTATAAATTAAAATCCCTGCTGTCTGGAAACTTTATATTTCTTTTCCCTTTGACTCAACAAGGTCTTTTGGTACCTATTTCTGAAGTGGCACTCTTGACCTACCAAGAAGGTAGGCATCCCGAGACAGAGGTCAGGCAGGATTATCTCAGCAACTTTTTGGAGGTCCTCATCCCTTAATACTGTGAAATTACTTCACATTCTTGCAAAGGGAAGTGTAAACACCATTGCACCAGATGCTTAGGGAAACAACATGGACCCAAGTAACCGCTTCTTAACCCTGGTCAATTTGAGACTGAACAACTACAACGCCTTTTGCTGAGAAGTAAGGGGATACACTGAAATCAAACTCTGTGCCTGTTTTCAGGTCTGGAGGCTGCTGCTGCTGCTCATTATTTGTATTGCGAGTCGTTTTGTATACAGGTAAGCTCTTGGAAGATGTTGCCAGCTGTCTTTTCTGTACAGAGCAGGAAGGGGGTAGGGGCAGCTTTGGGCCAGGGAGTGTGGATTCTCCTTACTTGCTTAGATATCAGCAAATCAGCTGGATTTTACATAATAGTGGGAAGGATTTTTCCTACACCATAATATTTTGGTGGTGTTTCTTCCACTGACTTGTCCCAACATATAGAAATAAACTTTCCAGCAGAGTAAAAGAACAACATTATACTGAAATAACCAGCCTGCCCAAAAATCTTAACTGGAGTGAGGACAAATCTACTGCTACTTTCACTTTTTGCATAGTGAAATCACAGTATTTGACGGGTTTCACACTTTCTCTTGTAGTGTTCATTAGTGAATTACAAACTTTTGCTGAAACCAACACAAATCTCAGCAGTTGATTCTGGAAGATTCTGAGTAAGTGGGCAGAAAAAAAGAAGTACTTTTACAGATACATTAGACTGAGCCTTAAAAGGGAAAAACTTATTATAAATGAGGTCTAGACAACAAATTCACATATAGAGGAAGGACTACATTTGACTGACAAAAGTTAGATGAGATCA